TGTGAAATACCCATTCATATTCTTGGCCGATTTTTCTATTGCAGTGTTCTTGTTCTTAGGGATTTATAGGAACTCTAATATATTAGGGAGAATTCTCTTAGTTTATATGATTTGAAGTATTTTTTCCTGGTTTGTTTTTCTTAACTTACTGGGTTCTTTTCCCCCGTTTTTGGCTTCTGAGTTTTGAATAGCATGGCATTCTTCACCATCCTAAACTTTGTATCTAAGCTCCATTTGAGGGGCACCTGGCTGGCTGAGTCGGTGGAACACACGACTCTTGATTGCAGGGTCATGAATGCAAGCACCACATCAGGCATAGGGCTTACTTAAAAAAAATGAGTGAAATAAACTCACTCCTTGAACTTGCTGTCCAAACTAAAAAACCTGATAGATTCCCATAGGGAGGGTTGCTTGTATTCTGTGGTTTTCCTCCATGAATCAACTGTCAGGGTGATTGTGCCCCTCACTGCCCTACTTCCCCACTCCCCAGGTTTCCCATCGTACTGCATCTGTGAGTATTTTAGTTTCACTTCTAAAAGAAATAATTCTTTTCTTTTTTGACTTAATCTCATAACCATTATTACACTTAACAAAAAAAGGACAATAATTCATTATTATCGTTGAATATCTAGTCTGTTCAAATTTCCTGCTGTCTCCTAAATGGCTTGTTATTTATTTATTTTTTTTTACCATGTATTTGACTCAGGGTCCATATAGTGTTCATAATTCGCAATTATTTGATAGTTTTTTTCTAAGTTTTATTTATTTTTAGAGAGAGAGAGAGAGAGAGCACATGTATGTATGCACGTGAGCCGGGGGAGGGGTAGAGAGAGAGGGAGGGAGAGAATCCCAAGCAGGTTCTGCACTGTCAGCACAGAGTGTGACACAGGACTCAAACCCACGAACTGTGAGATCATGACCTGAGTGAAAATCAAGAGTTGAACACTTAACCGACTGAGCCACCCAGGTGCCCCAATAGCTTTCAGATCTCTTTTAATCGTAGGCTATAGATTATTCCTTCATCTCCCCCCCTTTTTTCCCCCCACTTTCTTTTCAGTGTATTTGTTGAAAAAGCCAGGTTGGGTTCATCCACATTTTTCTATGGTCTGGACTTTGCTGATTGCACAGGAGCAGTTGTTTAACAGCAAGTAGGGTGAGGCGCCCGTGGTCCCTCAGCCCAGTTCCCTGGATATTTTTGCTTATTTTTCTGTATTAATTTTAGAATTAATTTGTCTTATTCAGGAAGAAACAAACGCTAGATTTTTAGTGGATCATAATTCAAGAGAATTAAGATCTTTTTGATGTTGAATCTCCTATCCAAAAACAAGTATGGCTTTTTGGTTGTTTTGAGTCTTTCAGTAGTGTCCTGTTCATTTATTTCTTTAAAACATATAAAAAAAGACATACGCTAAATTGCAAAAGTGTAAGGAACCTAGCAAATTACAGTTACTAACTATTTAGGGGAGCATAGAGCTATTTAATAAAGAGATAAATGCTATGCAGCCTTTTCTTAAAAACTTCATGTGCATGAAATGTTTTTTGCAATTTCGGGGAAATTCTTAAAACTCTCCAAGTGTTCTAGGGAAAGAACTCCTGTAGGAGCATGAAATCAACAACTTCCATTTGCCCTCTAACTGATTATTTGATAACTACTTTCAAGACATCGTGTAGTTGCCGTGCTGTTTAGGTGAAAGACACTTAATTGGTAAACCTTTAACAAAGACAGGCATCAAGGAGCAGTTCAGAAAGAAAACAAAGGAGATAAAATAATGCCACAAGTTCTTTAAGTTAGGATGGCTATGATGTGGCTTGACATTTATCAAATATTAGAAGGTAATTGCTGACAATTTTATAGAGACTTCGAGTTAATACAGTTATTTAATTTAAAAAAATTTAATGAAAGATGGTATTGCTGGAAGTTTAACATTTTTGAACCATGTGTATGTGGTTTAATAAAGATATAGATGATGTAGATGATTCACGTATAGATAATGAATATAAATCATAGCATTTAAGCTCTGTCTCATAAGATAGCCATACTTCACGTAGGCTGTAATGTTTTCACATTTAACTTAAGAAACTCCTCATTATTGGGGTGCCTGGGTGTGGTTCAGTCAGTTAAGTATCTGACTTCAGTTCAGGTCTTGATCTCACAGTTTGTGGGTTCGAGCCCCACATCGGGCTCTGTTGCTGTCAGCGCAGAGCCCTGCTTCAGATCCTCTGTCCCCCTCTCTTTCTGCCCCAGCCTCACTCTCCTGTACTCTATTTCTCTCTCAAAAATAAACATTAAAAAAAAAAAAAACAAAACAACCTCCTCATTTCTTTCTTTTTTTTTTTTTAATAAAGTTTATTTATTTTGAGAGAGCACACAAGCAAATGCAGGCAAACAGGGTAGAGGGGTGGAGAGAGAGCCAGAGAGAGAATCCCAAGCAGGCTCCACACTGTCAGCAGAAAGCCCGATGCAGGGCTCAATCCCACAAACTGTGAGATCATGACCTGAGCCGAAACCAAGAGTTGGATGCTCAACCAACTGAGTCACTCAGGCGCCCCAGAAACTCATTGTTTCTGAACTTTGATTTCAGGGGTGCCTGGGTGGCTCAGTTGGTTAAACATCTGACTTCAGCTCAGGTCATGATCTCACGGCTCGTGAATTTGAGCCCTACGTCGGGCTCTGTGCTGACAGCTCAGAGACTGGAGCCTGCTTGGGATCTTCTCTCTCTCCCTATCTTCCCTTCTCTCTCTCTCTCTCTCTCAAAAATACCTAAACATCAAAAAAAAATTTTTAATAAGTAAATAAACTTTGATTTCAGTATTCTGCTTTTTTTTTTTTAAGAGTAACATCTTTGGAAATCCTTTTAGACTGACAATTGTCATGGGTATAAGGAATTTTTAGCACTCTGTTTCTTAAAGCACAAAGAATTAGTGTCCATTTTTGTGATGCAGAGTATGAATGCTCTGGATAATTGTTGACATAAGACCATCTTATTCCCCACTAGCTGCTACTTTTATGCTGAAGGCATATTGTTACTTCAGTAGAGTCTGAAAGAAATTAATGTAATTTTGCTAAAAAGATGCCTCAAATGATAGTGTTTTCCAGTCTTCTCATGTTTCTTTACTAATAGGTCCTTAACAAAACTTAGTCATTGAAAACAGATGGTGTGGGGCACCTGGGTGGCTCAGGTAAGCATCTGACTTGGTGTCAGGTCATGTTCTCAGAGTTTGTGGGTCCGAGCCCCACGTTGGGCTCTCTGCTGTCAGCGGGGAGCCTGCTTTAGACCCTCCGTCTCTCTCTCTCTCTCTCTCTCTCTCTCTCTCTCTCTCTCTCTCTCTCCCCCACTCGTGCTCATCCTCTCTCAAAAATAAATAAACGTTAAAAAAAATTAAAACAGACAGTGTAGTGGTTTTGGCTTAAAGTTTTAAGTCTGAAAGGATTAGAACTAATAAAATGTATACATTATACAGGTTTCCTGTCTCTGTACTGAGGAGACTTGAGTTTTTTCCCTACAAACAAATCTGAGTTTATACCTTTTCCATAATGTAGCAGGAGTGGTTATTAACAAGCATGGGCTTTGGAGACCAGCCTGAGGGTCCCACGTTCTGGCTTCAACCCTACCTTCTGGGGGACCTTGGGCAAATAGCGTTCAGTGTCCCTATGCCTCATTTTTCTTACTGGGAAGGTAGACGTAATGCCAACAATCTCATAGAATCGTTTTGAGAATTTAAATGCTACATGTAAAATGCTGAGAGTACATGCTTGTGTGCCATCCATGGTAGACAGAGGAAATGGGCCGTGTTAGAAAGTTGTTCATTTATTTCAGTATCGTTCCCAGTACGAACCGTGAGCTCATGACCTGAGCTGAAACCAAGAGTTGCACGCTCAACCAACTGAGTCACTCAGCCAACCCAGAAACTCCTCGTTATTTCTGAACTTTGATTTCAGTATTCTGCTTTCTTTCTTTTTTTTTAAGAGTAGCACCTTTGGAAATCCTTTTAGGATGACATTCGGCACGGGTATAAGGAATGCCTAATGAAAACAGTTCCCATGACTTTATGGTTTATCTACTAGCTGTTATAAAAAGGGTTACTTTCCGATTATTTGCTGTGTACCTAGCATAGTGGTGAGATACACATTGTTTTACTTAATCCTCAGTTCATCTGAGGAGCACATGCTGATACTATTTTACGTTGAGGAAACTGGAACTCAGAGAAGTCCTATAATAAATTGCCCAGGCCGATGTAGCAAAGTAGTGATGGAGCCTTTCTCTCAACCATTATGGCATGCTGCCTCTGTTCATCTTGCTCCCCCGCTGCCTGGAATCTTCTCCTCTTTGATATTTTCTCATACTTGCTTTGTTCGTCTTTATCGCTTTGTAATTTTATCGCTGTGTCGTGCACAAGATTTGTGAGCGGTTAGAACATAGTGTGGCCCGACAAAGTATGGCCAAAAGATGGGGTGGAGGTGTTGATTGTTTAAATGAGGAAGTCAAATTGTTAATATTTCAGAGTACAATTTGGAAGGTGTTAAGTAGGTTTATTTTAATGTTTTATTTTTTTATGTTTATTTTTGAGAGAGGGGGAGAGACAGAGCATGAGCAGGGGAG